ACACACACACACACTGAGTGCATATAAACAGACACAACTTAGATGCAAAAAAACAAGATCAACTCAGGCTTTTATTTGCATTAATTTGTTCTTTCTCACACCAACAAACGGCATATAAACTCATTAGACAAACACACAATGCAAATACAAATAGAAGGTGAAATAAAATAAAGTTAAAGTGTCAGCAGGAGCAGAGTTTTAGCAATAAATGAGTGACCAAGTAAAGGGAATATGTGACCCAATAGTTAGGTAGTAACTGCAGCTCAAACACTTCAAATCTTACAAATTAAATACTGGTACATGTCTTAAATGACAACACGTGTTCTTAGTATTCTTCTGTAGTTTCTAGCATCTGATGTCCCTTTAGAGCTACAATGCAGTCTATAAATATTTGTCCAGGGACGAGGTGGGAAGTAATAAAGTCCAAATATTTCCTTACTGTACTTATGTAGCTTTTTCAGGTATATACATTTTACTTTTATTTTATTTTTTAACTTTTTAAAACAGGCTCTTCACATTAGTTTTAATGCATTTGAGGAGAATTTTTGCATCATTGCACGCCTTCCCGACATAAAGAGTATGTGCACTTCTACTTGACAGTAGTAGTAATGAGTAAAGAGTGTGTGTACTTTTGCCAGCTCTGCCAGGGACAGATTTTCCATTCTTTTAGGTTTGTACTGAATTGAAATGAAACAATAAGGTTAGAGTGCTGACTCAAAGCTGTAGGAGTGTGTGAGGGTGTCCAAATCCCTGCTGGCTGACCAGCATAGGAGCTCTTTTTACACACAGCCCTTCCAGTTTTATGACTATGCAGGTCAGTTGCACTTGCCATGGCAAGTTTTAAGGGCCAAAAAGTGTCATTTTCATGCCTAGCCAAATCCGTCACCTGACCATGCCCCTGTCAACTGACCTCAGTCCAACTAATCATGTGTTTCACTAACTGAAGACAAGACCGAAGGCAAAAAGGCCCCAAAACAAGCAAGAAGCAAAGATGCTTACAATGAAAGTGTTTGTTGATGCCTTCGTGTCGAGACTTTAGAGGGTGATTGAATGCAAATGATTTGCAACCAAGTATTAAATATGATGCTTGACCAAAAAAAGTCCCATCAAAAGGTCCATTTACTTGGTTTCCACAGCTTTCAGCCACATATTTTGGTATCAGTTGCATCAATTGTTATGGAGATGCTTTAGTTGTTCTCATGTGACCTAAGTATGGATTTCCGGTCATATGATAGCAATTGTGAGATGTGCCTCATAGCTCTGAATAAACTAAATGAGTGGACCTTGTGATGAGAATGTTTTTGGTAACCTGCTATACAAGGTCAAGAATTAACCTACAAGGTCAACATCAAATAACAAAATAACAAATAACTTATAATATACAACTAATAACTTCATTAAAGTTTATCTTGAGTCTGCCATCAGCAGATGAGGCTGTACTTCAATCAATACAATACATCAATACATTTGAGCTAAATGCTAATGTAGTGCTAACATGCTCACAATGACAATGCTAATGTGTTGCTTTTAACAGAATGTTTTGCCCTGCTCACCATCCTATTTTAGCATGTTGGAATGCTAATATTAGGTAATTAGCACTAAACACACACAGCAGAGGCTGATGGGAAGGTCATTAGGTATTTAAATCATAAATCAAAGTACTGAGCCAGATGATACCACTATAGGAAAAGTTACTAAGATTTATCCACTGGCTAAAATGAACGTCTGTATAAACTGTCATGGTAATTCATCAAATAGTAGTTGAGATATTTCAGTCTGGACCAAATCATAAATCTAATAAATAATAGAGTTATTAAAAGAGCATAGTTATTTAGGTTCTGTTGTCAATTTTAAAACATGACTCAGCTATTTAACCTCATAGTTTTGTTTCTTACTGATCATCATTTTCATCATTTTCATCAGTCCCCCACAATATTAATAAATTATATACGTCATTTTATCTTGTTCACATAAAACTGGCCGTTTGGTGAATTTGTTCTCCCCATCCCCCTCCCTCTGGCCCAATATTATTTAATTTTTTCATATCAGTTTAAACCACTCCTTCATATACAATTAAAGCAAAAACACTATGTATTTGTATTTACACTGTAAATTAATGGAAAAGGTCAAAGATGCCTGCAAATGCATCCAAACGGTTGATAAGAAAGGAGTAGGTTTCAGGTTTCATTTGCTGTGTGGCTGCGAACAACAAAGACCCTAACCCTAACCCTAAAATTATGTTATAAAAATTTACAGAAAGTGCTGTATTTTCAGAATATTGCACTTTCTGGTAGTACTTGAATGTTGAAGCGACCCTGCTATAATACCCCTTTTCCACTAACACTAGCGCCAGTTCAGAGTTGGTTCAAAAACCTTCCAAGAACCAGTTTGCTTTTCCACAGGCTAGAGCAGTGGTTCCCAACCTTTTTCCTTAAGGGGCCCCTTTTCTATCATAGAGTAAACTGACGACCACTTACTACGTGACCTATTTTATGGATATTTCATATTACATTCAGTGCATAACAATAACAGTACAGAACCACTGATAATAAACTGTACAATGAACCCAAATAGTGAACCTATCTGAGTGATTTGGTAACATTTTGAGCAGATTATTTCCTGCATCAAAAATAAGTTTTCCTTATAATTTTAGGGAACTTTTAATACAATTTGTACTTTATTATGTTTTTTTATTCATTTATTTGAAAGTCAAACATACTTAATAGGCTTTTGTATTTACAAATTTAGTGTTTGAATAGCTGAGATTTTGGCCTATTGTGTATATTTTTTAAGTTTTCTTACAATCCTTAAATTCATTAAGGCCTTGTGACCCCTAGTGGGGGTCTCGACCCCCAGGTTGGGAACCGCTGGGCCACAGAGCCACTGTATGTGTCTCCAACTTCTGTTACCAAGGTTACGTTAGCTGGCTCGCTAGCTAGCATTATGCAAGCAATGTTATAGGTTAGTATCACAGCAATGTTACTAACCTTGAACGCAACATTAAAGTTACAAACACATTTCTTCATAACACTGATGTTACGAATGAAACACTGATGTGAGAAATTGGTAGTAGTAGCTATGCTAGCCATATAGCTCAAAGTGGTAAACAGCTAATAAAATAAATAGCTGGCTGGCCACAAGGCGCCCCCAAGCCCCTGTTGTAAGCGGTTCTTGGCACCAGCAAAGTGTTCATGCCGCGCTGGAACCAATTTTCCTGGCCAAGAGCCAGTTCTTTGGCTGCTGAAACGCAAAGAACTGGTTTGAAATCAGGCACCAGCTCGAACGGGTTTTGGTGGAAAACGGAGATCATTTCCCTTAAATACCTTGAATACCAGCAGTGGTAAGTTTGAGACCCCTGGCTTGGACACATGGGGTCACAGTAGCTCAGGCGATAGAGCTGCTTATCCAATTATTGTGAATATGGTGTTTCGACTTCGTCCTCACAGCATTTTAAAGTGTCCTTGAGCAAGAAACAAAAACCCCAAACTGCTCCTGAAGAGTGATCGGTGAATGTGTGTGTGTGTTCAAACATGAATGTGAAGGATTATAAAATGTTTAAAAAAACCACCCTCAAGGTAAAGGCACTAGATAATAACAGTCTGTTTATCCTTTACAATGAATTCAGTCCTTTTATTATATACAGTATATCCCCCAAACCCCTGTACCTTTTGATTGTTGCTGATATATTAGATGAAGATGTTGTCAACGCTGGTGTTAAAACAGTTCAGTAACATGGACAACAATGAAAATTGTTTAAACCTTTTGAACAGCACAGAAAGACCTGAATATGATGATGATCAAATAAATGTTTCAGTTCCCAATAACCTCTGCTTATGACATCTGAATAATAAAACTTCATTAACACTCATTGAACAAGTGTTCAGCTGTGGTCTTCTGTCTGTGTCTCTCCGGACGTCTTTTTCTGCGTCTGCCTGTCAATCACAGAAACTATGTGACCGTATTTGAACTCAGCAACATCAAAGCTGCTTCATTTTTATCATTCAGGTTGACTTCAGTTCAAAAGCTTTCAAGTATTTCTCTCACTCCACCCCCCCCAGACGTTTCTCTGTCTGCACACTGGTCCTTGAATCGAGGCCTAACAAAGTGTATCTCAGTTCACCGCTCAGGGTTCAAGTAAGAATCCTTTTCTTCACACGTATGTGGCCTGAGTCTGGTCCAACAGTGTCGAACTGAGCCATTATTTTCTGCACAGGGCTCGTTACGCTAGTACACAAGGCGCTGCCTCTCATAGCAGGGTGGACACACCTTCGGTCCTAGTAGATCAAAGGTGTGCTTCTTTGCTGTAGGTGAGCAGGTTTGGCAGGTAAAGGAGGTTTGGTGTTGGCAGGTGGTTTGCTGTGTGGATCATCAGTGAATGCCTTCCTGAGCTGCGCCACGCGACCTCCGTGTTCAGACTTTTTCTCTTCACAACACACAATCTCTGAGAGAGGAAGAAAGGGACAGAGTGGATTAATATTCAAGTCACCACCCAAACATTCAAAACCTTTAGATATTCACTAGATTTTCCATCAACGACTGAATGATAAAATATAATCTGCTCAAGTGTGATGTAAAAGTAAGTTCAGGGTAGTTTTATTCAGGTATAGATACAGTAACTCTGAAGTCTAATTTACACTTTACTCAGTATTAAAAGGTTCAGTGTGTAGGATTCCAAGTGCGAAGGAGAAACTACTTCGGCCGCGAAACTCACAGCTCTTTCTGGGCTACTGTAGAAACTACTGTACTGTAATTATACATTAATAAAAACCCACAGATATTATATTCCATTTTCTGCCATAGATCCTCCTAAANGTTACACACCGGACCTTTAAAAAAGTGCTCCACCCATTTAACATTACAGTCCTTTAACATCGGCTCAGGATGGACTACATTTATTTGACAGCTATAGTTTTTAGTTACTTAGGAGATTGAAGACTTAACAGACAAAACATCTGATAAGTCATTTGTTAAAACCATCCAACTGTATATAATACAGTTAAAATGAGCTCAACCAGCAACAACATTACATGCTGTTTTCATGTTAATCTATTCATAACAATGATTAAATAATAAAATCAATCATCAATACAGTTTATTTTACCTGATTATTACTTCTGCTGGGCTTTTTGTAATTTTTACCTCATTAGGATCAATAAATGGGAATCACAGACTTCTACATCTACAAACATATAAATCGGCTTTCTCTCACCTCTTCCCTCCTCTCTTGTTTTGTCACCTCTGTCCTGCAGGCCAGTCCTCTCTGTGTCTGACAGCTGGGCTTTGAGCGGCGGCAGGTTGCTATGGCTACTAAGATGTGGCCTGTAGAGAGGAACCCAGTCGCCATGGTTGTCCGTGCTGCTGCCTGATTCACCGTCGCTATCCTCTGCGGGGTCCTTCAGGTCGTCATCAGCGCTGCAGGAGTCCATGTCCTCCTCAGACGACTGGCTGTTTGGTGAAGCTGGGTCATCCTGTGTGCGTAAGTGGGACACAATTTGATTCACTGTTCATCTTAAACCCTCCCAACTTCAAAACCCACATTACAAACACACAAACTCACGCTAACATCTGCGAGAGACAGCTGGATGTCTTCCTTAAAGCCGAGCTGCTGGGCCTCTCTTCCTGGCAGCAAGTCCGCTGTCTGGATGCCATTCATATTATCACTGCGGACTCTGAAAGACAAAGACATTCATTTTTAGTCCCACAGACAGCCATCCCAACCTTTGAACCAATCCTCCAGTTAGTCATATGGCAAATAACTTAACTAATCCAATTGGGATGAGGGAGACGGCAAGCTCCCTGAAACTCTTTAGTTCCACTGCTGTTCATCATATCAGAGTTATGTAATTGGTTGAAGACATTGAAGGTTTGTTAAGGTGGCAGAAACCTATGCAGATGTTCTTATGTGGTGGATGAGAAACTTGACAAAGCTGCCCGTCGCTCAAAGAAATTAAAAAATATTTTTTATGTTATGTTAAAAAAAACAAGAACAGTTAAACTTAATTATTTACTGGATGCCACACATGAAATAGTCTTTTTTTTGTTCTGTTTTTGGTGAAATGTAAGAGATTTGCACATTCTGACATTGTTGCTTTCATCAAATTCTTTTGGAAAAATGTATTAAATGAAACCACATGAATGAGATTTTCTCTGAAACCCATGTTACCAACATGTGATGGGTAGGAATGGTGGAGATAATTCATTTTATTTCCTGTCTAATGTTTTGCACTTTTTGTGAATGTCATCTTCTACATTAATTCCTACATTAAATTCACCTTTTTCTCTTCAAAGCAAACTGGCTCTGGGTTGCTTGACTTCTACTGCTTTTCTTACTTCCTAATCACATTTACGTCAACGCCAAAAGAGCTAAAATCAGTCAATCAGCTAAAATCAGTCAATCAGTGTGGTACCTGTTGTTCATGAGGCTCTGCAGGAGCTTAGAGGATCTGAACTCGTCGACCTCTCCAATCACACTGACGCTCACGTCTCCATCCCGACCGAGCAGCCAGCTCACATGTTTGTTGTAAACTGAAGGGAAAACAAAAAATAATAAATAAATAAAAACATCAATAAGGAAAAACCTGAATTAATGAATTAATGAGAAACATGACAAACGCAGATGCTTTCATACAGGACACGAAGGGCAATTGAATGGTCCGATGAGAATGAAAATGTGAATCATTTGATGATGTGAATGATCAATCATCATATCCCTATGGGAAAGTAGAGAATGGAATAATGACTGGGAGGTTTGAGTTGGTTTTGCCTTTAAATTGTGACCCATCTGTATATTTTCATCTCAGAGTGTTTTAGCAAGATTCTGATAAAAGCAGCCATCTCATAAGTTGTTATTCTGGCTTTTATCCAGAAGGTGGTGCTGTCCTATAACTAGAGAGTTCGAAAACAGCAATGAGGTTTGTCCTCTCTCACTGTTGAACTGTTCCCCATTTGTGCTCTCTCTCTCTCTCTCATTGTTTTTTACTTCATCTCTTCATGTTTTTCTCTGTCTTTCCACTGGAGTAAATTAATTGTGTCTCACTGTAAAACATTAATAATAGCCGAATATTGATAAATCATGTTTAAACAAGTTTGTGATCATTAAAATAGTAAATAACGGTGACCTCATTCCTTGTTAGTGAGAGCAGGCAGGTCTGCATGAAACTGACCCGGGGCAGTTTACCAGAAACTCACACTAAGGTTTGAATTGGAAACATCTTATTGTGCCAATGTTTACTTTTGTCACACACTGCATCAGCTGAAATGAGGGCAAAACTCTCCCTTATAATACATTATACCAATAACAACATACATTCATATGTATAAGTATTATAAATACATAATAATGTAATACTATAATAGATTATATTGTTTTGTTGTTGTTAATACATTCCACACACGACACTATTATTCCATTACATTTGCACCCTGGGAAAAAAAGGGTATTTTTAGTGGCTACCTCATCATGAGACAGCAACCAAAAATAACCCTACCACCCCCCAGTGTGTGATAACAGGTGTTTTCCATGACCTCTGATCTGATAAAGGTGTAACACCTGCCATGACATCACCGATTGGGGTGCGGCTTGAAAATTCAAATCCTCAGAGAGCTTTACAGCAGCATGCTTTCTGCAGATTTACCCTTCAAAAAGATACAGTAGGCACGACGAACAGATACTGTAGGAGCTTGTTGAAACAATCACCTCCTAACAGCGAAGTGACTGTACAGATTTCTTAGGAACAAACAAAGGCAGCTCTGTTGCTGCTCAGATTTTAGGGAATGCCTTGTGTTTGTGTGCAGCCACTCAGTACATAAGGGTATATTGTGTGGACGTCTCAGTCTGATGTCACCTGACCAAAGACCCTCTTTGACATAAGTCACAGTTCTGTGCAACACACCTTCATTCTCATAACTGTGATTACAAGATATTTCCATTACAGAACCGCACCCACAAATAGAAAGAAATGCGGCACATAATAGAAATCTTAGTTCACAGGTAACTAATTGTGTATTCATGTGACGTTTATAGGCCTGCGTGTACATGTAATGATTGTCTTTCCCGGCAGTGGCATGGTGAACAAAGAAGGAAAGACGCCTAACTGGATTGTATGTTGTGTAAGGCAAACACGCAGACAACAACACTCTGTCGGCTCTCAGGTGACACGGCAGAGATTGGGTAAACAAAGACGGTAACTTAATATGTAGTTTTAAAGTGTGGCGACGCCCCAAACCGCAGGGCTTACTCAATCTTATTCAGCTTTCAGCCCCGTAGAATGAGTCGACTGGCGGTGATAGAGTCTGTCTGTCACACAAACACACATTGTGCAGCAGGGCCAGTGGAGGTGAATGGGTCTCAGATAAACACCGTATATATGGAGGAAGGGTGGGTGAAATGAGTAAGACGGACAGGTAGAGCAGTGAAAAGATTACTTTGGGTGTAGTTTAAACACATTAATCAGATTGGTAACCGGAGAGGGTGTTACACAGCTTGTGTATCGTGTGCACTCAAGAATCCTGGTCATTAATTAGTTGTAAAAGGGAATGAATGTGCAATTTAGCAAAATCTGAAATATGTGTATAAATAAACTATAGTAAATGTGTTTGTTTGCAGCTCCTAGAAATAAAGAGTGATTCACAATATGAAAGCTATAGCTGCAGGGGGAGCACACTCTCCCTATAGATGGTTTTAAAATGTCTGCAGTATTTGGGAATGAGGACTAAACAGGACCAGGATTTAAACAATAAATCATGAATCCAAATCCCTCCAGCTGCATGCCACCGCCAGAAGAAATTGTGACTAGCAACCAAAATCAGAATTTTTAATTCCAAAAGATTTTCTTTTTATCTTTTTCATTTATTTAACTGTTCAATTATATTCCCTGCAAATGTGATCTCCCTTAATACTGTTTCAATGTCTCTTCAAGACCATCAAATCATTCTCAGGGAGAGAAAAACTATTGTATTGATTGTCAACAAATAATTAAATTTAAAGATCTTGACAGAATCAGCAATCAAAACCTACCACATATATAAACTCCTTAGGTCACCAAAACCCCAAATGTCCAGACACAATAGTGAGGACATGACAGGGACGTTGGTGGGAGGTGAACAAAGATAGAAAAATTGTTGCGCATTTTGGGAAATGTGCTTATTTCCTTTCTTGTCGAGAGGTAGATAAGAAGATTTTTACCGCTCTGATATTTGTACGATAAGTATGAAGCCAGGAAGTTACTGCACCCATCAAAGCAATCAGGCAAGTACTCAGGCAAATAACCCCCATAAAACTGCAATTTATTGCTTTTAAACTTTGGTTTGTGTGCAAATTAAATAAACAAGATAAAACATATTAATTTATGAGCTTCAAGGGTAAACTGGTAAACTAGCTGCTGAGTTAGCTATTCCCCTGTTTTAAGTCTTTATGCTAAAGCTAAGCTAACCAGCTGCAGGGTGTAGGTATATTGATGGTCTTAGTCTTTTAATCTAAATTTAATCTCAGCAAGATATTTGCATCTTAAAGAAACGTCTGATTCAATGTACAGATAACTGTAAATGTCATATGTCATTTTGGTGCTTTACTGTAAAGGAATGAGTTAAAGAAGCTTGTAGTTTTAACCTCATGTTACTGTTGAATGAAGGCATTTCCCAGAAACACTGTTCCCCCCTTCTATAAAACTACATTGCTACTTTTCCTCTTTTGCTTTACTGGCAATCATACTTGTTTACTAAAGTGTTTCCTATGTACTGGTACTTCCCTACCAGTGTAACCAGTGCAGTAAAGATCTCACTCTACCTTTCTTTGGCCTTGTGTCGATATTGTCTCTTCCTTCCTTCTCGTCCTTCTCCTCCCGCTCTCTCCAGCGGCGTACCTGTTCCTCTCTCATCTTTAAGAAGAGGATCCTCTTCTGCTCCTCGCTGAGGGCCTCCAGCACCTCGGGCTCCACCCACATGTCCTCAAGGATTTTAGCCAGCATCTTGCCTCTTCTCGCCGGGTGCCAGAGATGACCGTCAGCCCCTCTGTCTCTCCGTCCAGTGGGTCGTGTTTCAGCAAGTGGGGTATGATCGCTCCTTTTTCCTGCTCCAGAGTCAGGTTCCCTTTTCTTTGAAGGATGCGGGATCAGGTGCAGTCTAACTACTGGAGGTCACCGTAGTGTCCTTTGTCGAGGGCTCCTCCTCGGTGCAGTAGGAGTGTGTCAGGCTCTCTGGGGGTGAAGGCACTGTGTGTTCGGATCAACTGAGCTCTGAAGGTTGCTGTTGCTGTTTTACAGAGAGAGAGAGAGAGAGACAGAGAGAGAGAGAGAGAGAGAGATTATATCTACTGTATTGTTTTGTTCCCGTCCATTCAATCCTATTCAGGCTGGCAGAACACAATAGGCCCAAAGCAAATAAGCCACAAATGTAGTGTGTGTGAGTTGGTGTGTGTGTG